CCAATGTAGAGCGCATTGCAGTAATCCAACCTGGAGGTGACCTGGGCATGAGTGACTGTGCAGAGGGCCTCCTTATTGGGGAAGGGGCATGACTGCTGCACAACATGAAGTTGCGCAAAGGCCCTCCTAGCCACAACTGCCAACTGCTCTTTGAACAGGAGTCGTGAGTCCAAAGGACCCCAGATTACACACTGGGTCTGTCTGCAGTAGTGTGTCCCCATCAAGACTCAAGATGATAAACTCCTAGATCTTAAGGCTCCCATACCAACAGCCACTCTGTCTTACCAGGGTTCAGTTGAAGCCTGTTGTCCCCCACCCATGCCTTACAGCCTCCAGAAACTGCGAAATGGTAGCCACAGCATCACTTAGGTCTCCTGGGATGGAGATGTATAATTGAGTATCATCAGATTACTGATGATGCCTAATCATATGGTGCTGGATGATCTCACCCAATGGTTTTATGGAGATGTTAAATAGGAGCACTGAACCCTGAGACACCCCACACACTAGAGGCCGTGGCTTGGACCTCTCACTCCCTATGAACACCAATTGGGTTCGGCCTTGGAGAAAGGAGCTGAAACAGCACAGCACTGTGCCACCTAGCCCCAACTCCTGCAGCTGACCCAAAAGGATATCATTCTAGATGGTACTGAAAACTGCCAAGAGGTCAAGAAAAGGAAGGATGGACGCAGTAGCCCCATCTCGTTCTTGCCAGAGATCATCCAAAGGTGTGACCAGTGCTGTTTCTGTCCCTTAACCAGGCCTGAAACATGAGTGATGGGGTCCGGATAATCAATTTCTTCCAGGATGCTCTGAAGGTGCCACACAATCACCTTTTCCACCTTTCCTAGAAAGGGAAGGTGGGAGACTGGACGAAAAGTGTCCAGAAGGGTGGGATCTGGCAAGAGTTTCTTGAGGAGGGGATGGACCAAAGTCTCCTTGAAAGTCTTTGGGAACACCCCCTCCTGCAAGGATGAGTTGACCACCACCAGTACCCACCCTAAAGTCGCCTCCTTAGTGGTTTTAACCAACCAGGAGGGACAAGGATCCAAAATACAGGTAGCCGCACTAATAGCTCCAACGACCCTGTCCACTTCCTCAGGACCAGCAGGATGAAACTGTTCCCAGATAACTGGGTAAGACCACTCCCTGGGTTTCTCCACTGGAACCGCCTCACGCTTGGCCTCCAACTGAGAATGGATCTGACTGATTTTAGCTGTCAGGTGTTCAGCAAATTCCCCAGCATACCCCTGTAGGTAGTCCTCCGAGCCCTCTCTACCCAGGAGGGACCAAGTGACCCTGAACAGGGTGCCAGGTGACACTCTGAGGATGCAATAAGAGCAGAGGTGTAATGACATTTCACCCCCCTTTCTGCCACTAGGTAGGCCTTAATAGTGGCTCTAACCCATGTTCGATCAGACTCGTCCTTAGTTTTCTGCCAGCGGTGCTCAAGATATCTCTTAGCCCTTTTTAGCTCCCTTAACTCCTCTGTAAACCACGGGGAGTGCCGAGGGTGATGGGTCAAGAGAGGCCGCACAGGCGTGATCTTTCCAAGGCCCCAGCCACCTCCTTATTCCAGGCTACAGCCAGGGCCACCACTGGACAATGCAGCAAGGCCTCAGGAAAAACCTCAGTTCCCTTTGGAACTCTTGCAGGTCCATCAGTCACTGGGGGTGGACCATTCAAATACGTCCTGCCTCCCTATTGAGGGGGGAAGCATAGGAGAATTTCACGGCCACCAGGGAGTGGTTTGACCATGACAGAGGGTATAATATCAAATCCCCTACCAGATCACACTGTGACTGCTCCGACAAGAAAACCATGTCTGGAGTGTGACCACTGTCCTGAGTCAGGCCAGAAATGACCTGGGATAGGCCCATGGCTGCCATGGTAGCCATGAACTCCCAAGCCACCTCTGAGGCCAACCCCAGGGATGGCTGATTAAAGTCCCCCAAGACCATAATCCTGGGGATCTCCACTGCCAACCCTGAGATGCCTCCAGCACCTCAGGCAGGCAGGTTGCTATGTAGCATCCAGGCTGCTACAGAAGTTCTATCAGGCATCCTAGCTGCCAAGCTACAAGACCATGTGTGCCAGTAGTTAAGCACAGCTCAGAAGGTCATTGGGAACACCAGAGGCTCAAAACACCAGTTACTTATAGATAGAGCAGTTGCCCGAGAC